GCAACAGTGGAGTTTACTTGCGAAAAGGAAAGCGGTAATCGGCTACCATATCTCGATGTCTTCTTAACTAGGAGACCAGACGGATCTATCTAGCATCAGGTATACAGAAAAACAACATGGCTAGGCCAGCACACGAACTTTCACAAGTTCGTTCCTATGAGATACAAGCGCAACCTGGTTCATTGTCTTGCCCCAAGAGCAAGTCGAATCAGTAGGGAAGACACCTTAGACGCGGAGTTAATGTTCATACAGAATACTCTAAGTGAAAACGGTCATCCCGATAGATTTATTTTAAGGAACTTCCAAGAAAACCCAGACCAATACCAGTGTTAACAGTAGCAAAGAAAGAGCTATTTATTCGTTTACCATTCAAAGACAACGCGACTACCGAGCGTCTAACCTGAAGCCTTCGGCCGCGTTAAAGTCGACCTTCCCAGCAGCCTCGTTGAAGTGCGTGTTTTCAATGGAACCACTCATTCGTTCACAAAACAAGGACAAGATGTCGATGCTGACCAACTCAATGGTAATTTATCAATTTGTGTGCGCATGTGGCGCAACTTATATTGGTCGAACGGCGCCGCAGTTATCCAAAAGCATGAACGAGCGTTGCTGTCGTTGGCTGCGTCAAGGGGGCGCCGGGACCATTAGTAACGCCATTCTGGCCCACATTGTGGACACCGGCCATGAGGTGGATTGGAAAAGTGCTTTCGGAATAGTTCACAAGGACCCGTCGCACAGAACGAAAGGTTACCACCTTCGTACACTTGCGACAGCTGAAACAATTTGCATTCGATTGTTCTAGTCATTCATATGCTCAGAGAAGAAGTTGGTTCAGGCCCTCCAACTTCCCTGCTCAGCGAAGGCGGAAGACGCCCGGGTCGACTGCCTTCGGTCAGACGCGGTAGCAAACAACTAGCCCACCAAGACCTAATTCGTTTTCTCATCTCTGACATGGACCTTCACGTGATCTAACCGTTTTGCACTAACCGGTTCGATTGTTAGTTTAGCGCCCATATGATTGTAATGGTCTGATGATGAATCATCGAAAGCAATTGCTCACCAGATGGTCTTTCTTTCTCGCGACATAAAAGTCGTTTATTCTCACAGAGATACGGAGGAACGGGAGGTTTTACGACACATAGTAGACAATACTTCAGGTCCTGAAACTTAGTGTCAGTTGAGGCAAATGTCATTTTCCGCAGGTTATTGCTATATCTTATCGTGTAATTGTCACATTCCACTCTGCATGGTAAGAATATCCCTGAATGCATATCAGTTCGTGGCCTAGGCCTGTGATACTCGCACACGTTCAACATTTCAAAGCAGTGTGATTTTCAGATATCAAAGGCAGGAAACGTCGTCGGATATTTTTGTCATTCATTCTCATTCCAGGAGTCCCGGCTCTGATTGTGCAAAGCATATGTACTGCGAACCATCTTTTTTATTGCTCAATGGTGTGCACAAACATGCGAAAGTGCGACAAAATGACTGCTGAGCGCATTCAACTCCAATTTACCGAAAGAATAACTGGATATTCCACAAATTCGTCTTACAGTAGGCACTGTACTTTCCTTGAATTGCAAGCAATGTGGTTGCAAAGAATGATATTAAATCTATGTTTTCCATTCAGAGTCATACATGATTGTGCTCAAACCACAAGAATAGATATGTGTGATGCAGGATGACAGATACCCCGTACGTGATCTGAGCTGTAACGTCATAATTCCAAGGACAAAACTTAAATGAGAGAAGATTTCTATCTCTTTACATCCTCCGTGCATTAGAACAAATTACCTCATCAGGAAGTGCGGTAAATTACATAATATTAATACTAGTGTATATTTCTCGTTTTATTGAGAAACCGTGCCCACATATTTAAAAGGTCAAACAAGAGACATCTCCCTGTGCAAACATCATATCCATGCTACGGATATCTCAGCCATGGGATACGCGGTATTCGAAAATTGTGTCGACATCAGATAGAAACAACATGGCTGTTTATCGTAACCTAGTAATGCTTGTGAAAGCGATTTGTACAGGATGGAACTGTTAAACCGCCAGAATTTATTTTGCAGAAAATTGCGACAGAATTCCGCTTTGAAATATGCTTACATTCCTTGAGGGAATCAAAGTCACAGTGGCTAATGACGAAAACAGATCTAAAGATGTGTTTAAATGCTTATACGGAACTCCTCTTCCAACAGTTATCCCAAACATACTCAACTACTGCAATCAATCAGGACGGTGGGTGAGTGCTATTGATATGAAGTTGCCACATAGTTAACTAGTGATATAACCTGTCTACATGCAAATTCCACATGCTGGGGTGAATTCTTTCCAAACTGATGTTGGGTGAGATCACAAGTGAAACACAACTGCGCACCAATAATCTCTCCGTATGCGGGAACAGTCTCCCGCAATTTCGAGAAATAAACCATTTATTTATTTTATAAGCCCCACTTTACAGCGTTACAGCAAGCGTTTCCACCCACTACACCTATCTGGCTATCAACTCTTCCATACCACGTGAGACACGAGCCAGTTTCAATGAATGTTTCAGTTAACACTGCGACATGTTGATCTCAACCGAACATTAGCTTTTGCACTTTGCGGATATCAAAATCAGCCATGCCGCTCATATCCCTGCATCGCCAACTCTTCTTGTGGGCTTGAGAACGCTAGAACCCACGGATTTTTTCTAGTTAAGCCCCGCCACTAATGCAAAATGAGCACGCGCAAAAGTTAAGCCCCGCCACTGAGGCAAAAAAGGTACACCTGAGAAGTCAAGCCCCACCAATAGTGCAAAAAGGGCACGCGTGAAAAGTTAAGCCCCGCCACTGTTTGCCAGCTCCAGTGTACGTAATGCATGTGAACGTGCCCCATAAAAACACTCCTTATCCGCTTCTAAGGTCATTTTTGTCCAAAAAGTTTCTACGTTCGCACGTAAAACCTGACATGAACTTTCTGACGCTTTCGGCGGTCGCTCATGACAAGGAAACAGCAATACCTTTTTTGCAAAGCCATGGAGTGATTCATCATCAACGTTTATGCAGACGAGGACACCAAATGACACTTTCAACTGTTTCTGACAGGTGGTGTGATGCCCGACAGTGTCGGCAAGAAATCGATCTTTGAAAGTGAACTTGGCTGGAGCGGTCTAGGATGGATTTCAGGACAATAATCCTATTCATTTATTGCTGGTCCATAAATCTGACAACAATCAAATTCTGCTCAGAGGAGTTATCTATCGGCCACGCGACCGCTGTCGCCTAGAAGAACTTTCTGCGTGAAATTTGCGCCTGGCAGCTTTTGCAAACTCCAACGATTGTCGGCGGCCCAGGTCTACATGTCGAGATCGATGAAACCCTAATATCACGTCGTAAAAACCATGCAGAGCGAGTCCTTCCCCAGCAGTGGATTTTCGGAGGGATTTGCCGGGAGACTAAAGAAGTGTTCTTGTATGCAATGCCAGATCGAACTGCGGCCACTCTGCTGGACCCAATCCAGGCCTGCATCGCTCCCGGCTCAATTATCATTTCCGATATGTGGGCATCATACCAAGGCATTGAATCGACGATTGGCATGAGTTATACTCATCAAATGGTTAATCATATCGAAAATTTTGTGGCTCCAACGACTGGAGCTCACACACAAACCATGGAAGCTCTCTGGCACATTTACAAAGTGCAGAATAAGCGCCAATGCGGCACACACCGATCTTTAGTGGACAGCTACCTGTGTGAGTTCGTTTGGAGGCAAAGACACCGAAAAATGGACCTTTTCATGCAGATTACTAATGACTTGTCTGAATTGCACCCTCTTCAATAGAGAGTAAAAGTTCAAGTTCCATATCCTCCCTTTATATAATCTTTTTTGGGTGGCTGGGCTTAACCTTTTGGCGGGGCTTAACTGGAAAAGATCCAAACCCACACCGGTTTACACTTAGTGAACTGAGAACACCCGTCATACCGCGGACATTCTGTTTGCTTTATAGTATACCATATCGCGAGGCACAATTACTGAATCTCGCTAAGACCGAGTATTCTCTATTGTGAGATACAGGGTGGAAGGAACCTCAGAAGACTTAAATATTCCAGCCTACTTTGACCAGTCTTCTTGCTGACACGCTGAAGGCATGACTCTGTGGTGGCGCCATCCATTCGGGCCGAACTGGTAATTTGTATCGTTCGAGTAAATTTAAGTACATGCAACAAGTGGTCGTTCGAACGAAGAAAGGTGAAATCACCACTACGTGTGGCTACTTGGTATAGACGTGTGGTACTGTACTTCCCACAAGAAATAACAGTTTAACATTGACAAAATGTCATTCCCTCCGTATGTCCAGTAGGATTGTCCCGATGGGCAATTCTGGACGAAAATATATCGACGAGGGTTAAAGTACTCTCATGTTGAACGAACACATCACACCAGCTAGCAGCCACGGTGGGTTAATGATGATAGACTAAGTTGCTTGAACTGGATACAGAAAGTTGAAAAAATTGTTGAAATTGCGACTTCCGGAGCAAGCGGTTTGAATGCCGCGGATAGATCGGGCACTCGCACAAATGTATCTTTAACTGAGGTGAAAGTTATTGTTGTGTGCCGACAATTCATGCAAATGGAATGATGCTGAATTGATTGCCTGCATTCGGAAACCTGAGAATACCATTCCATAGATGAAGCCCACCCCTGTTTGCTTGGACATGTGATTTGGTGCATAACACCACGACTCATAGGTTCGTTATTGATGTTGAAACAATTCGCTGGCATCCATCTTCAAATGTAAGGAACCTTAGAAACGGAATAAATCATCCGACCTGCAACCATAAAGCTAGCAGAGATCACACAAGCGCCGAATGAACTGCTGATCGGTGCGGAGCCTTCAAGTGTAATCGATATGTGCTCAAATGAATCTCAACCAGTTGTAGGCAAACCAAATATCCAGTCGAAACACACCGAGTAAGCAGGTAACCCATAGGAACCAAAAATACAGAAATAGTGGAAAGTCGTACTCTTCTAAACAAGGACAGAAGTGCGAACGTGAAAGGAGAAGGCAGTTTACAAGTGGTTCCATCGCAATTCAAGAGAAAGATAATGTGTTGTGTTAAAGGAAGGATGCAAGTCACCAACTACAGCTTCGTATTTAATTTTCTCGGAAATCCATCGCTCCAATCGGGCATAGCCTTCTGGTTCTACTGACGGAATAAATTTGTTGGCGAAAAATTCCGGTCTACCCATCAACCAGTCTACTTCACGGAGTCCCAGCATGCAGATAGTCCTGACCCATTTGCCACTGTGGCAAGGCATGTTTTGATCAGACCATACTTTGACTCGGATAGGTGGTGTAAATACAGCCGATTCATGCACACCCAGAAATGCGCCTGGTGCGGGAATAGAATCCGGATTGTGGTTTAAAGTGGGGAAGTATGTTTCGTCTGCAACGATGCCTTTGTTCTCCGACTGTTCGAAGTCACGCAATGCCTGGAGGATGAGTTTGGCACGTTCGTCACTATGTACAAAGCGTACAAATTCGCGGCGGGCGACAATATGCGCACCTCCTTTATACCATGTGAACTGTGGATGGGTGGGTGGGGTGGAGATAAATGTTTTGAATCGTAAGGTGTGTTCACTATTGAGGCTGCGGGGAAAAATCAATGAGACGGCAATTGTCTATTTGGGTTTCCAAATGCCGAGCGATGGTGCATGTATAACTGTGAGAAGATAGGACTGCAAGCGACAAGCCATAATGAGCATCTACTCAAAGGACACAGTGAACGCGAAAATCGTTTCCACATTCACCACCACACAAAAATGTAATCTGTGGGCAGAACAAAACTGGACCAGATTACCAAGGGATTTAGGAACGGTTTCAAACTGCGGCTAAGTCTAGCCTACTTGTGTAGTAGTATGGTGTAGGTGTAAGTAATGCTAACCACGTCTCTATCTGTAGGATTTTATATCCTGCTCTTAACGGCGTGTGTGACAATTTAATACTCATCAATTTGCCGGCGTAAACTCTCCAGTCTTGGGGTATCATTTTCATGGCATCCTTCCACCGATGACATCAAAGCCAGCCATGTCGCTCTGAATATAAGCCGGTTACAAAGCAGCTACGCGCGACTATTTCAATGCCTAATGGTTGGTGGAAACCTAGATGCACCCATTTCCGGTCGTTCGAATTCACAACTTTCCATACCCCTAAGTTATAATATGCACTCAAGCGATCATTGCGACTAGCCGTGATATTCCAACGAGACCAGCGCTGTTAGAAATAACGGCAACGGATCTCTGTCTCCCGGGTTAGTACACTGTGATGTTTTGTCATTCTGGAAGATCAAGTGTAAGCATTGCTCGAGCAGGTTCGCATCCGTTAGCGTCAGGGCACCTGCGTCAGTGTGCATCAAAAGCCGCAGAGTGAAATGATATTTGTCTGTTGTTGCATTGCAGGAGTTACAGAGCTTCACTTAAAGGCCTTTTCAGTTACACGTTGGTTCGAAAGAAGGTTATTAATTAGAGCGAACCCAGATGATAAACCTCGGGTGTTACCTGCTGGCTACACTGCACTCCCAAACCAGTTTCGAAATTATTTGCTCTCAGGAGGCAGTGATAGAAGAACCACGACTCAAACTTGGGACCTATGGGATGCCAGCTGAATCCTCTAACCATTCGCCACAGAGCAGCTCCCGGTAAAACCTATCACAGCAGTTAATAACAAGTTAGATCATTTTGAAGCCCGCACAGATACTGTTTCAGTGATTGAATTTCCCTAACTTCAATTCCCAGCTAAATTCAGTCCTGCTTCCGAGAGTCGGTCAAAATCAATTCCACACAACGTGCGAATCAAAATGACCGCTTCAATGGGGGAAGTAGTATTTATAGTGAGAGGAGCTTAGAGACAAGAGACGCACTGGGCTCCAGCACTTCTTCTCATAAGTTCCCAGTTCTCAGACTTGTATTTTGCAGGCAAATTAACCATCGATATAAAAGTGTTTTGCTTTTACGAATGGTTATTTTTCGGAAACGCTAAAAATATCGTATATGTTGTTTGCCCACCTGAACATGTTACGAATAAGATGAATCAGAAACAGTGTTTCCGCAATTTTATAATTAATGCTAGTGAAGCCGATTAAAGATAGTAAGACACAAGTAACTCTGTTAATGATCACAGCATTAAAAGCTGCACGTCAGTGAAAACGGGGTAGCAGCAGGCAGCGAACTGTATCGCGAGCTATTACACTCATGTCTCCTGAGCTCTAAATTTCCAGTCGTTAGTTTGACGGTTGCAGTTTATTTGATATTCATTTCATGTCTTCTGTCGAAAGCGCTACTGATGTCTGTGGTGGCTAAAAGCGTTCAACGTGAACGCGGTACTTATTCAAGTAGAACATTAAACGAAGTTCGACGGGCACGTTTTACACTCGATAGATAAAGGCATTGTCACACGATTTGTGCAGAGCAAATCAATTAAATAATTATTACTGCACTGTTTGTATTATGCACATTGAAACGACCAGTTGAAGGGATCAAAATAGTTAGTCAAAAGTTGCAAACGGCTACCAGCAGCCGAGGCATATCTGCATATAGTAACAAAACACGTTTGACCTGCATTAATATAACCGCATCCTGTAGGCTAATTCCCGCTCTGCCGAAATTGTAGCGGATACCGTCTTGCTCCCAACAGAGCGCATCTATCGAGGGCATTTCCTTCACTTGTGAGGGTTGGTTGGTATAGTATGTAGCTAGGGATCTAGTAATTGGGGGCATATGGGGTGAAAAATGTGTTTCTGAGGTCCTGGCTTGTCGTCTATCTACAATTATGTGGATGAGAGTGGAAGACGGATTGTGCCATAACACAGTTAATCGTCTAAACAGAGAAGTTGCAGTCATTTCACAAGGCCCTGATATAGACGGCCGGTAAAATTTGGACCCCTCGAAGGATTGAGGAAACACGCATCACCGACGACGGCAAACCATTCCAATTCACCCTCTAATGCATGATGGATGTCTGTCTGAATTCAGTTATCATGTGCATCTTTTATAGCATAGCTTCGAAACCACTCACCACAATCCCGTACCGCCAATGCCACCGATTCCAGAAAATGCACAACATTCATCTGTTGCCTTTCCGCACGTGGACGAGTATCTAGCTGGGTGCAACTGTGATGGCCTTTATTAAATTATTGACATTTAAAATCGACCTCCTTATAAACAAGCAAGCTAATCAAGAACTCGGCGTAGCAATCAATGGGACTTTGAGAGATGGTAGAAAAATGTATGATCCACTTGTGCGTAACGAATAATATATCAAGCATAAAATCCTATTTCTTACAGGCGACATGACTTAGTAGCCATCAAACACGTCGACAAAAACCTACCGGGAAGTTGAACTTCAGATGCAGTGGGAACCTTTCCATATTTCGACGTCTGTACATTCCATCGATCAAATTCGACCCGTTGAGTATAGTCAAAGCTCGAACTAGCTCCCAGTTTGTTCTCAGGGGAAACTCTTGACCAGTTAGATTGATCCAGTACTTCCAACGCGGACACCGATCGAGTAGAATGTGACTACACAGTAAATCCACATCGAGCGTAGACATCCAACCCCACTCCACCTTAATACTCCTTGCTCGTGGGACAACATACACAGTGTCTCCGTAGCGTCGCTGCATGAGCTGAGTGATTGTGGTATGTGTCCATTCGCTGCTCTTCCTGTCCACGTGGATGCAGTAGCAATTGTGTGATCTATAAATGGCTTGCATGAGTCTCACCGTCCGGTCAAGATCTGTGTACATTGAAATGCTGAAGGCCAGTGGGAACTGTTTCTCCTCGGTGTGGATGACGGGGTTTATTGATTGGCATGTTTTATTTGTCCATCTTGACTGGAACAGATTAATGAGCGTAACAATCACGATAACCGTGACCAGTAGTCTGAAGAGAATCGATAAATTCCCCACAGATAAATGCATCATCCTATGGCAAAAAGGAAAAGACGCGTGGTTCGTCAAGCGTAAAACCGTGCACGTCGAAGTGGACAACACCTGTCACTAGATTTCACAGTGCATACAGTCTGAGGAAGGGCTCTTATGAATACTTTCGAATGGTGACCTTGGTGCACTTTTGTTCACACCCACGTTTTGCATGCTCTTAATTTTACCAGCTTGCCAGCTTTGGTTCTGCACAAAACTGTCGGTCAGTATGCGCAGCTCACCACAAGGTGAACACCACGTGACATTTATCTAAATCGTTAGCTCTACTGGCATCCCCAGAGTTTAATGCCAGCCAATCGCAGTATAACCTGTTGTTTTGGGCTACTCGAAAACTGCGGTGTTACTCGATTCGAACAACAAGGAGTTTTTCAACGAAAACCGGAGTGCTCGTACCCACATCTACGATGTTCCGTCACACACACTTTCGCCTTTCACGGTTTTCCGTTGTTGGCATGAGTACAGAACTTATATTACTGTATTGTGCTTCAGCGAATCGCATAGAATTACTCCCTATAGCATATGAACATGTCTTTTACATTGGGTTCCTTTGGATGCATCATTTTTGTGTAGATGCATGGGGCGCTCATAGACATGATCATTGAGATAAATTAACCAGTACATCTTCCCACTAGTCTCTATAGATAGTGGTAGTTGACGGCATTCGTTTCCGGATATAGAATTTCCAAGAGAAATGAGAACAACCCCACAGAACTCCTGCTGTCATGGGGGAAATGCGGATGGTCAGTGTCCAATCACTCCTCGAACACCCTCGTCTCAACTGGAAACAAAAAGGTGTGGCATGACGACGAGTAACACATATGACTCGGAACCACCCCACGCTCCTCGAATGCACACAACCATGAGGCAAATTTTATGAAACATTCTGTCTTGCGTACGCGGATTAGTAGTTTAGCTTTTACCTGTTACACTTTGGAAGAGCTCCTTAAGCCTGGAACGGACCCGAGGGGCTGTACTCTCTCCCGTAGGCAAAGATTAACAGTGTCCGCAGCCATAAACTTAGATGGAAATGCCAAAACCAAGGCAGCTACACATCAACAACAGTGCAATTGCGCACCGCCAAACCTGGTACATCATGTCCTACTAGGTCTAAATGTTTGAATGACCCAAATTGCCTATCAAAGAACCGAGGTGTGCAAAATATCATGAGCTGACAAAGATATTTCGATTAGGGAAAAACCATTCAATATGGAACCAACGATTCTACCAGATTCTTTGGGAACGTGATAAGTCAAAGCACGCTAGTTCCGGCTTGGCTTGCGACTAATTCATCGAAGTGTTTTATACCTCATACGGCGCCTTATAATGTGAAACCATATAGTACTCTTCCTTTTGTCTTGTTGAACGCACCATCTCCGCCTTAAGTTAACTCGAAATGGACTTATCCGTTTTCGTTATCCTTCGCCTTAAACGTGATATCATACCTGTCGTTGATTGTAGTTCGGATGTTGTTTCCAACTCAGTTGTCTTTTCTCAGTTGAAATTCCCTCAGGAGAAGATCAACACTTGTGGACCACTCGGAAACACTTTGTGCTCTGGAAACTTTCGTCTGAGTTGGTTACAGTAGAGCGTTCACAAAATTGGATCAACCCGGAGGTAGCACGTAATACGACTAGTCCTTTTAACAACCGCACCAGTAATATTATTTCCATTGCCGCTGCGATAGCCTTTGACAAGTACGTGTATTCTTGACCACAGTGTGCATTTTGCTTCCACGACAGAAGATTACTCTCTCCATGTCAATCGCATAACACCTTGTGCTTGACGGATTGTATTTTCAGAACGTGACGTTGTGCGGCGCAGCCGAGGAAGAGCGTAAGTACAACATCATGAACTTGTAGGAAATCGCTTCAGAACACAATCTAAGGTTTAACGAAAGCACAAGCGTCATACAATGAGGTATGATACGACTATTAGGGTATGAAGTTTCATACGAGGTTATTCAATCAAACCCAGACCGACTTCAAGCATTGGGATACCTGCCGGCAGTCACTGACCTAACATCTCAGCAGTGTGTTGTGGGACATTATGCATGTAGGTCTCAATGGATTTCAGGTTGCTCCGACAAAATCCGCCCGCTAATCGACAATTACTGCTTCCTCCTCCTCAAGCTTGCCTTGGGAGCATTCGATAATATCGGAAAAGAAATAGAAGAGTTGATGGTCGACTTTGTTGTTGATACCATACGCTTAGTATTTGAAACGGACGCATCCGGTATAACTATTGAATTAACACTAACGCAGAAGGGGCGAACAGATACTTTCCTCTTGCGAGCGCTGTCTGTCAGTGAACGACGCCGTTCTGCTATCGAGAAAGACGTACCTGCCATTGTTGAGATGGTCCACAAATGGCGACATAACCTTGGCATAATCAATACAGTTAGATAAGGATAAGAAACACCACGGATAATGTGCCGCAATACAGAAATAGCAGAGTACAAGATATTAAACTTGTGTATTGTATTATTAAATAGTATAGCACATATTAGGTATGAGATCAAGCTTGAAGAGGATCTAAATGATAGTGGGATGAACAAAAACTCACAAAACAAACGCCATTGAGGTGGGCTCTTAGCCATATAAACAAGTGTATCCAGCCAAACGTGTTCATCATCCTTCCGTCCCAAACCCGGGAGCCGAGATGCTCTATCCCAGACCAACTTCATCGTGACTGCCTTCATTCCTCTCGGCCAAGTCAACGCTTGACAACCTCTCCTCTCCTTCCATCCGCACCTCCGGCACGCAAACCACGCACGTCACCGGTATGCAGAACATGTGGTCGAGCCATAAGTGCCTGGGACATGAAATATCGGTGCTAAGCAGTTCGCTTCTTCTTCCTCCGACATAAACAAGGTGTCGAACAGGCTCATTGCTCAAACGGTGTTCCCACCAGATATGAGCCAAACTGCGAACGCACCTGTGGTCGATCTTAACGAGCCTCCTTATGTCGGCTGATCTAATGGGTAAAATTTCACAACTGTACAGTGGGGTCGAACGTACCGCTGCATTGCACACTCTACCTCTCAGGGTGAGTGTGATGTTGCGTCGATGCCATGGGTGGCGAAGTTTAGCAAAAATGCCTTGTGCTTTTGCTATACGGTTTGTGACCTCATCTGCCATTCCAACGGCGCTTATACAACTACCTAGATAGTTGCATTTTTGAACGATATCTATCTGATCCATACCAATGGTCAACACAGAAGGGAGTCTTGCAGGAAGGCTTTACAATTCGAGGGTGCAAAGCTAAGCGCGAAGTAACTGACACTCAGTGCTAACCTTTTCAGTGCAGCTTGGCATGTTTGTGAGTTGTCCTAAGTGAGGGCAATATTGTCAGCATACTCCAAGTCAAGAAGTCGTTCACGTGGGAGCAGCTTCACACCTACAAAGTCGTGTCTTGTAAACGCCATCTCCATGACTTCGTCAATAGCGAAGTTGAAGAGGAAAGGTTACAAGTACACCCTTGTCTTACTTCCCTAAAGAGATTGAACAGCGGCAAATCGTTGCCTTAAACTCTCAAACCACTCAACCTACGCTCGTAGAGCGTTCGGATAATGTTTACCTATTTCTCGGGCACACCCCTTTTCTGAGTAGACAATCTCAAAGAGCACATCGATTCACCGAATCCAATGCATCTTTGATGTTGAGAAACACGACAACGATGGGCCGCCAAAATATGTGACGCGGATCCTACAGCTGACGCAAACTGCAGATGTGGTCGATGAAGCCCTGACTTCGATGCAACCCGGCCCGCTCCTCACGAATCTGGCTTTCACGGGTGCGAGTCATTCGGTGAAGGATGAGAGTGGTAAGCAATTTGGAGAAGACGGAGATCGAACTGATTTCTCTGTGGTTCCGCCTTCCGATCCTGAGCCTCACTTGAAAATTGGGACAATGACAGAGCGGCTCCAGTCGGTTGGGACAGTTTAGTGCTCCCACAGGTTCACTAGTAACTCGTGTAAATCATCAACAAAAGTAGGTCCCCCGAATTTGAAGTGGACTGGAGGAAGACCTCGTCCCGCGGCTTTATTTATCGTCAGTAGTCCGATCTCATGTTCGGCTTCTGAACGAGACGGTGTATCCAAAGCGATAGCCCACGGAGCAAGGCAATCAGTGGCCGGTTAGGAACTTAACAATTCCGACCGATTAAATTGCCTTGCAAATTTCACAGTTCAACGCTCCAAACATTTTTGACGAGTGTTAGATAGGATGCCCACTCTATTCGCGCACAGTTTCGTAAACAGCAGGTCTCCTGCTGCCTGTTTCCCGCGTCAGAAGGAATAATGTCCGATGGTTACCAAGAACAGCGGCCCTTTCATATCGGACGCATGAGGAAACCATCAGGATTCGCAGTCTCTCTACAGCAGTGGTTTCCAACCCTTTTTACTCAGTTACCCACCAAGCGGGTTCACTATAAGCCGTTACCCCACGGACTTTCAAAAGCCAGTTACCTAATAATTATCGCACTTTTTGCGTTAAAGTACGGAACATGAATACCTCATGTAATTATTTTCGATCACGCAAATAAAGAAAAACCACATTTTTGAGCAACTTTTCATTAAATCAGTTGGGATGAATAAACTGTTTACGGTAAATTTGGTGCGATTTCGGCTGTGATGCTCAATGCTGCTGAGAACAAGCACTCTGCTTTGACGTAGTCCCATTTTATGCACTGAACATAAACAAGTAGCCCGGAACAAGGTGTAACCTCGATCCTCTCACCTGAGTGTAGTACGAAGTAAAGAAATGACTTTCTTACATTAAGTACCGCTTCCAAGGCATACTTGCGCTTGTTCTGGATGCGTCTTTGATGTTGCTGTTAGAAAGCGATATTACACTTCTCTTTTCCGCATGTTGCTGTACACCAGCAGTTCTTAACTTTTTTATGGCTGTTGCACACAAATCGGGTTTACCATAACCAACCCCAAACCCAAATTTCCGTTTCAAAAGCTTACCAGCGAACAACTCTCGCAATTTTTACTTCTAACAACGAGAAGTGATAGCCATTTGGAATTGCTTTCGATC